CTGAATACTTATGCCAATGGGATATTTCAGTTTTTCCTTTTTAATAAATCTACCAACATTTCTAAAATTCTGTTTTCATTTTGTCATTATGGAGTACTGAGTGTAGATTAATGAGAAAAAAAATGAATTTGATCGATTGTAGTATCAGGCTGCAACATAACAAAATTGAAAAAAGTGAAGGGAGTCTGAATACTTTCTGAATGCACTGTATATAAGATGCACAGCAGTCTGACTGATCTGTCTACCTAATTACCTAATCAGTGTTATGCAACATAACAAAATTGAAAAAAGTGAAGGGAGTCTGAATACTTTCTGAATGCACTGTATATAAGATGCACAGCAGTCTGACTGATCTGTCTACCTAATTACCTAATCAGTGTTAGCTACATATATGCAATACAGTGGTACCTCAGGTTACAAACGCCTCTTAACAAACTTTTTGGGTTATGACCAGCTCCGGCTGCAAAAATTTACCTCGGTTTGCAAACTCCGCCTCGGGTTATGAACTGGATCCGTGGCCATTTTCCCTCCCATGGCACGGTCCGCGGCCATTTTCCGCCCCTGACACGTGGTCTGCGGCCATTTTCCGCCCCTGACACGTGGTCTGCGGCCATTTTCCGCCCCTGACACGTGGTCTGCGGCCATTTTCCGCCCCTGACACGTGGTCTGCGGCCATTTTCCGCCCCTGACACGTGGTCTGCGGCCATTTTCCGCCCCTGACACGTGGTCTGCGGCCATTTTCCGCCCCTGACACGTGGTCTGCGGCCATTTTCCGCCCCTGACACGTGGTCTGCGGCCATTTTCCGCCCCTGACACGTGGTCCGCGGCCATTTTTCCGCCCCTGACACATGGCCCGCAGCCATTTTCTGCCCCTGACACGTGGTCCGTGGCCATTTTTCCGCCCCTGACACGTGGTCTGCGGCCATTTTCTGCCTCTGACGCATGGTCCACGGCCATTTTCCACCCCTGACACGTGGTTGTAGGGAGGGGGACTTTCCCT